TGAATATGCGAGATGTAATCGTATATCGTGCAGGTTGAGAGAATAGTTTCAGTGAACAGCACCTTGGCGCTGTTCACTTGACCTAAACGATAACCATTAAAGGCAGCTTCCAGACAAATTTGGACTTATGGGGATCTCACGTGGATAGTAATATTTTTTTATATTTAACCCACCAATTTCGCGTGATCCCTCGCGCGAAACTGGTGGGTTGCACCATGATTCTATGCGAATATGATCCCGGGGCCAGTTTAGAGGCGTATATTTATTTATTTATTTATTTATTTGAATACGCCACAGGCGCGCCATAGTGTCGGGTTAGTAACCAACAGATTCTTGAGAACAAAAATCAGTGTTAGAAATACACAAACTCAGAGACAAGAAAGGCTTAATGCAGAAAAATAAAATAGCTTTTTTTGAGACCATTCGCCACTCTAGGTTAACTAATGAATGATAGAACACAAGGACTAACTATCAGAAGCGCTGCCATAAAGGATATTCATATGAGTCTGCGCATGCCACCCTCGCTGACCAGCAAGCGACCTATATTCAAGGAGTATGACGGAGACTATGAAAAGGGCATGCTAGCGCGACAAACTAGGCAACCCTAGTACAACCGAACATACTGGATGAGCCACAAACTCAATAGGAAAACTGGAAATATGCTCGGTAAAAAATATTTCGGGCAGTCTCCTTAGGTTAGCCTTATGTACCAGGAAGAAAAGAAAAATTAGACCCAGAACGACAAATATGTCTCAGTCGAATTGAACTGACACATCATCAAACCAAAGCAAACAATACGAAACGGCATCTATCTTACACTCTTACAAAAGGAAAGGTAGTACAGGCAAATAAAAGAACTGGAACTCGATCATGCGTTGTCAAAGTATACTGGACGACACACCTTGAGTCCGCCGAGAAGCGGGATCTAAAAAGGAAACCGAGAAAAACAACTACAAACTAAAGAGAAAGCTAAACTCCCAAGCTTATCGCAGATGAAAAAGACGTGGCAAGAAAGAAGATGTAAAGCAGTCAGCCGAATTTAACCATTTTCTGAAAAAAAAGAGGAGAAGAAAAAACGGATTGAAATAAACGAAAGACACACCTTGTAAAAGAGATCCTACATCTAAAAGTATTCAGACTCGTCAATGCCTAACAAACTCAAAAAGTCGCATTCCAAAAGCTTTTTTCTAAACAATTTTGAGTTAACAGAAGAGATGACAGAGTCAGGCAATTTTTGCATCCAACGTGCAGTACGAACAAAAAAGGAGTTATAAAAAAGCTTGTTCAATTTTGTTGATCCTATTGAATCAGCACAGTAAAAATTAAACCTACCTGTACGTCCGTGGCAAGGCTTCCAAACCCAAAATTCACTAGGCAAAAGCTTAGTCTCGAGACGTAATATTTGGAAGGCAAGTACTAGATCAGCAACAACCCTTCGGTAAAGCAGGCTATGGAGCTTGAAGCGGGCCAACCTACTTCTATAGGACGGGAGGGCAGCTGGGTAATCGTCGTTAGGCATAAGTCTATAGAAAAGGATACGAGTAAAAGTCATCTGAACTCTTTCCAAAGTCAAGATATCCTTCTTTATATATGGACTCCAAACTTGGCTAGCATATTCTAAATGCGGGAGGACATAAGCCATATACATTCTGATGTAAACTTTCTCATCAACATGCTTCAAGTTACGTAGCAAGAGGAAGAGTCTGTGCAGGGCTGCACGTGCTATTTTCTCGATATGGGATCTAAATCGAAGGTCTTGGTCAACTAGCACCCCAAGATCTCTTATTAGTCCACGCCTAAAAAGAGAGGTACCAGAATGCTCGTATTTCTCAAAGGTGCAATCATTCTCCTTTCTTTTGGAGATTGTCAGGCAGGCACTTTTTGTTAGGTTAACGTCAATACTGTTAAGAGAGGCCCAATTCAGAATATTCTGCAGGCAGTCTCTAAGGGCTTGTGTAACTTCACCTCTATCAGCATCAACATAGGATGCAAACACTTTAATGTCATCAGCATAGGCCATAACCTTAACTCTGCAGTCTGTAGTTAAGAGTCCAGGAAGGTCACTTGTGTAAATATTGAAAAGTACAGGGGACAATATACCACCTTTTGGCACTCCACTAGTTGCTGAGTAGAAGGAAGAGTCAGCAGAATTACAGCGGACGGAAAAAGTCCTATTGGACAGATAAGATGAGAGCCATTTCAAAACAGTTCCACGAATTCCTACTTGGAAAAGCTTTTCAAGCAGTTTGGGAATGTCTACTCTGTCAAAGGCTTTAGACAGATCAAAATAAAGAACATCGGTAAATCGATTTTGAGATAAAGCTTTTTTCCAGTGATGTTCACAGACCAATAATTGAAGGGTGGTCGAAGAGCCTTCGATAAACCCAAACTGTTCAACTGGAATGAGATGGTTTTGTGCACAAAATGCCAACAACTTCCTTCTAACAATCTTCTCGGCAACTTTACAAACAACAGAATTGATGGATATCGGCCGAAACTCGGTAACCTTACATGGACTCTGAACCTTAGGTATGGGTACGACTTTTCCTTGCTTCCATACATCTGGGAGCTCTCCACTGCTCAAGGAGAGATTGATTAGAATAGAGACAGGAGTAGCCAATTGGTTGGCGAGTTGTCAAAAACGTGGATGATTTGAGCTTTCTCAAAATGCCCACAATCTCCCAAGGAAGCACCTGTGAAATTCGAGAAAGACAGGAGTGGCATGATCTGATGTCGTATTGAGAGTCATTGTTGTCGGGGGGATTCGATGGAGCTCGGAAAACCGACGCAAAGTAGCGCCCTAGATGCTCAGCTTTCTCTTGATCTGTCTTGATGACATTTCCTTGGTCATCCCGCAATATCTGCACTTTCGCTGGTTCTTTAAGAAATGAACGAGCATATCTGAACAAAGAAGCAGTATTCATCATTGTTAGCCTCCTCTGTTTATAAGCACTAAACTTAGCTAAGTGCCTGGATAACTCTTTAGTAATGTGCTTATACATTGCAAAGGCTAGGGGATTTCGAGATGTACAGAACAACCTGTTTCTTTGTTCAATCAAGTTCTTGATGTGCAAAGGATAATCGCAAGGTCTACTCATTTTCTTTTTGTACGGGACAAATCGCGAGAGCAAGTCATGCATCAAATCAATAAATCGTTGATAGGCATCATTGATCGAAGTGGCATCAAGTAATGTCCACCAATCAATAGTGTCTAAAGCGGAAGACATGGCCAAGTAATCAACGCCCATGTAGTCAAAATGGGAATCCACACAGGAAGTATCAATGGGTATTGAAAGATCGAAATGAACACTGGCATGGTCAGAACCACAGAGAGAAGGCTTAACAATTACATTGTGAACAACAGGATTAGATGATAAGACAAGATCCAACACATTGTTCATTCTAGTTGGATGAAAGACATGCTGAACAAGCGAAAGTTCATTAAACAAAGTCATAAATCTTCTAGAAGTAGGACTTAAGGGAGTCTTATTTGACCAATCAATAGCAAGGTTGAAATCACCCATCAGGACGACATTGGGATGATTACTACAGAAGTTTTGCAAAAAATCAATAAGGTAAGAATCGTTGTTGAATGTGGAGGAGGGAGGACGATAAACAAGAATGATGAAACAGTTAGATTGCGACTCGATATTCGTAATTTTCAGTGACAAAATATCAGTCATTTGCCTGGGAGTAGGCATATCTTCACATAAAATGATATCACGAACAAGAACACACAAACCTCCCCCACGTCGTTTGATTCGATCTTTACGGAAAATCGTGTATGGAAGACCATGACATAATTCAGAAGATTCAATGGCTGGAGTCAGCCAAGATTCAGTTACGAAGATAATGTCAGGTTTTTCATGAACGAGAAAAAGATGAAACAAATCGATTTTGTTTACAAGACTACGGGCATTAAGTAGGATGCAACTCATCATACAAGTACCATGCAAAGAATTCAGTTTTCCTGACGTGGATTCTGCCCTCGACTTATGTCGGTGATCTTGACCACCTCACCCCGATAGACAACATAGCCCTTGTAGCCCAATGCCTGGTTCTTTTCACGTGCCTCCCTGCGCAGTTCAAAATGTCTCTTGCGTTCATCCGCGGTGAGACTAGGTCTGATAAAGACACTAGAAAACCGCGGGTTATTCCTTAAAAGCTTTGCCCTCCCAAGAACAGCAAGACATTGCGACCTAGCCGGAAACATGACTTTGGTCAAACGTGGCTTCTGGGTGACCCTACCCATCCTAAAGACCGCGGTTGGCTTGGCCTCTACACCACTATATCTCAGCCGTTAGTGAGTAGCAGCGCTGTCGCTTGTGCTGTGCCTTAATCATGGCCCAAAATTACTTTCCACGTAAAATCCTCATAGGTCTAGATTTGCATGAACGCTGCCTTTGAGTCCGCTGAAGTACGAGCCAATATAATAAATCATGACACATCCGGAATCAGCCATCCGAAGAAGGCCTGGGTGGAATGGAAGACGTCATAAGGAAATGCTTAAAGATTTGATACCTCCTTCTTAGGCTACGAAAAAAATCATATCCAGTATCAAGACAGATTGCGTGTGAGCGTAGAAGCAGGAAAAGTGGCAATCCGCTGCTAGAAGAACGGAAAATGACGAGTTACAATGATGCAAACAAGACCGCGATGTTGTGCGCAGCATGGTCTCTGCACGCTGCGCGTACGGTAATGTTCGCGCGTAGATGTATGACTGCACTAGCAGCGCTGGCCTCGTTAAACGTATTTTAGAAGTCGTCCGCGCTGCGTGGAGAGTAACGCTGTTGCGTCCTTTGAAGATAGTCCATGACTGGAAGAGACGCAGAAAAAGGTTGCGAGAGTGCACGAGGAAAGAGGAGTGACGCGCAGTACACACCTCGCGCACTCTCGCTCCTTGCGCGGACGGCCTATAAACGAATAAACAACCATTTTCATGAACAAATGCACCATTTCAATCTCCATTTTATTGTTGAAAGAATATAACATAATTTTAGGAAGAACATTCTCGCTGTTTTTTCATCCATGTCGGATGTGGGTTTCATCTGGAAATACGAAGACTCAAAGCTGGATTCTAGCAAGCCTTCAAACGTTCTTCTCAGTGCATGGCTACCACAGGTTGCTCTTCTGAGTAAGCGGAGTTTTTTTTCAACACATGGCCATAGTATGAACTTGTAGAGGACAAGCGTCTGTCCGCCTTTCTCACCCATGGCGGTATCGGCAGTTGCAATGAAGTAGCGTACATGGGTAAACCAGCAATAATTGTGGGTCACAGTTTCAGATATCCTCTAGGAATTGTGCATTAGAGACTATTATCCGACCTGGTTTTCCTTATCTTCTTTTGAATGAAAATGTTGCGCACCTAATATTCAGCAGTCTGCTATCTGAGCTGTTGTGTTTATTGAAACAACTTAATATGTATTCACACCAACTTGAAATTAAACTACTTTTTTGCATTAAGTGGGCACTTCAGCAATTCTGACAACAAAAGAATAAGCTAGAGCAAGGCGGCCATTGTATCAATTAATGGTCAAGCATGTATGAAATATTCGAAAAGAAAAGATTTTCAAAAGTAAAAGGATTAAATTAGAAACTCCGTACGATCGTCTGCTTTCGGTTTCAGCAATCGTTATGTACTTCGTCGGTTCGCTGTAGTTAGCCAAATCGTGTAACTTTGCCGATACTTATTAATCATCCACTTAGACACAAGACGTACAATACCGCCCATAATTTGTTAAAAAAGTCACGAACGCCGGCGGGGTTCACAGCAATCCGCGTCGGATCGCCATATCTTATTGTTAGTTTGAAGTGGTAGTATTCTTAATGCAAGAGCTCCATTCGACTCAACTCAGCGAGGTGCATCCTCTCATACATAGAAGCGCCCGCTTGGGTATACTAAATCGCGTAGACATCAGTTTCAAAAATCTTTGGGTTTTTGCCTATTTTAGGTTATCCAGTGCGTTTATTCATTGCACACTAATGAATTGCCGTAGACAAATATGAAATCTGAGCACGTACCGTGTTCAAACGAACACTTCTATACAGTGGCATCATCAAAAGTCTCTGAGAAAAATCTGCAATCCTGCAAATTGCGAAACTTTACGTTTTAATTCGAACTTTATGCCACATGCCGCGATCATTCTCCACAAAAAATACCTAGCTGAAAATGGCTGTAATATGTTTTTGCAAGAACCATGACGAGTACTCTTGCAGAGCGGAAAAACAGTTTTAATGTTCGCCTTTTATGCTATAGCTAAATGCTGTTAGCAGTTTGCAACCCTTTAATGTACACAATGTAGAGGAGGCTTTGCGCTATCACATCGTTGTATTGCGTTTGCCAGGAGCCATTTTCGCGGAGGCGGAAAATAGAACTCTGCGAATGTTACCTGTTTATCACTTATACGGTAGTTCAGTGCATGAGAGTTGCCAGCGAGACTTTTGCGCTGATTGCTTTGCCTGCACGCGTTGATTGCGACATCTCAAACTTGGGTGAATAAGCTTTGTTATGATGATACCAATGATCTGCACAAGTGGCTATGACTACAAAATACTGCGATAATAAACAAGTCCATAACTTTTGTGACACCGTGATAAGTCTGTCGGTCTATGATCCTGTGATCTTCCTCAATCTTCTTCAACTCCTTTCTGCATTCTCGTTCCGTTCCTGGATTTCCCCGTAGCGTAGACTAAGCGACCAACTTCAAACGGGAGGGTGCAGATAGTCGCGTGGTGGTCACCCGCCAATCCCTGTTCGCTGTTCCTACAGTAAAAACCGAATGTCCGTTTGATGCAGCCGTGGATATGCCATTCTAAGAAACGGTGACACCTTCTTTCGCTATTTAGAAGAGCCACGCAATCTTTGATGGCCGTCACCCGAAGACAGACGTTTGAGTAGCGGCTGCCATACTCCTTGCAGAAGACGCACATGGGAAGCCCACTTCCGTTATTGCTATCGCCCAGCATTTTTTCGGGGTACTACTGTATTTGCTGCTGTAGTCTTTCCGGTTTCTGTGGATACTCGACGATGAGCTTGTTATACTTTTGTTTATCTGCTTTGATCGCCACTTCCGGAATTGACGCTTTCGTGCTTCCCTAGTCCTGGACACCTTCTTGTTCGGCCGACTTCCCGCTCTGTCCCTGTGACTATGTGGGGTGCGTTTATGAGCTATGTTTGCGGGTTGTGACTCCTCTGTGGTGGTCGGCCATTGTGATCTTATCCTCAATGCGTTCATCCAGGCGGCATCTTTGCTTTTGGGTTCAGCTTTTGAGGCCAAGTGCTTTCTTCCTGCTTCTGTGCCACATTTTCTTGCTACGTCTTAGGGGGTTTCGAACCATCCGCGAAATGTTCATGCTTTTGATGCTTCTTGATTCTCAACTTTGCGATCGAATCTTTGACTTCTTTAGGAAGGACTATCACTTTGTGCTGCTTTGCCATTGCGGTCGGAATCATATCTTGGCGTTTCACTTCTCTCAAAATTTTGTGATTGATTCTATTTGTTGCTGATCCCAGTTCGAAGTTCTTCCTTATGATTAAGGCTCGACAAGAACTGGCACAAGAGAAATTTCAAAACGAAGTCTCCTTTGATTTTGAAAATTTCGTATAGTCGTCCTCACCCCACTAGTCGGCTCGGTGGACGAATTTGAATTTGAGCTGGAGCAGGCCGGTTGCGGCGGAGCGCGGCACCTCAGCCTTCGGTTCAAACCTTCGCCTATTTCTACCAATCTTTTTTGCCTTTGGTTGGTAATTCGTGTATTTCGACGACGTTCTTAAACAAAATTGACGTTTTGTTATTGTTAAGCGTCGTTTCTGGCTGCTGTGTTCGGTTTTTGTTTGAGGGGCTTTGAGAAACGATAGAGATGGCGATTTTGGCATACCATTCACCACTATAGCAGACTTCTGTACATATTACTTACAAAGAAAAAACTTACAGCAGATGTCTCCCAACTGTATCGCTTCTCCAAGCTTACCTGTATACAGTGTGTTGAACTTATGAGCTTAGCAGAACGAAACAACGCTCGACCACAACAAGATGTTTTATTTTGCTAGCGAACATACCTCACATTGCAAAAATTAACAACAAATAATGAGGATAATGATAAAAAAACATGCATAAATTTGAACCGAAGGCTGAGGTCAGCGCTCTGCCGCAACCGGCGTGCTCCAATTCATATTCGAAGTCGCCCACCGACCGAATAGTGGAGTGAGGACGACTATACAAACCCTTTGACCCTAAACCCTAAACGTAGAAAATCCTAAACGTCGACTAAAAAACGTCGCAATTTTTGTGTCTTTTCGGCCACAAGAAACGATACTCCCTTTGTCTTTTGTCAAAAAAGATCCACCTGGATCCGATTCCAGCTGTGCCGAGTCCTGCTTGAGACCATTCTCGATCGTTCCGTGACGTTGCAATCTGTGACGGCGTTGTATATTTCCCAAAATTGTGGCATTAGTTTTTATTGGCTTCTCCTTATATCTTGTTCAACTTTGTAAACTTGTTTTGCTTTATCGTCAGGGAGGGCATTGTACCCTGCGCCTGCAATCTTTGTAGGTTTGGTCCGATTGAATCTTTTTTATATTTTCGAACAACTTGCTGTGGTTCTGGGTATCCATGGTCCGCAGGTCGTGTGGGTACCAGCATCACAGTTTTTTCCAACCATTTCAGAAACATGACACGGTTAATCTCCCCAGCTTCGCCCGCCGCAACCGTAATTTCGTACCATTAACGGGTCAGCAATAGTTGATCTGCCCAGGCAACCAAATCTCCCTTTTTCTCTATGTGCCGTGCACGAAGTTCTTGTTGCAGCATATAGCGCAACGATGCCGACAATGTGTAAGAGGTTTCCCATCCCTTTTTCTTAATAGAGATGAGATCCAGCTTGTCTGTGCGAGCCTATCGTCAAATTCGTTGCATTTGTACCGCAGACATTTTTTTTGCCGAATCTGTGCCTCTGTTAATCTTAATGTTGAAGTAATGCATGTCTTTCTTTAGGATGCTTCCTGAGCGGACGCTGTGAGGACCCCTTATGAGGAGACATGGAAACGATGTCAAACTTTCGATAGCGCTCACGAGACCAGCACAAATTCCAGTTGAACGCGAAACGCGGATCAGAGAAGTTAACAAAGGAGGGATGATGTACTGCTTTGCGAGGCAGTACCACCAGTCGCAGTATGTACAGAAGGTAGTAAATTGTGTGAGTAAAACCACTCACACAGTCCGCATGAATGACTTACCACGGAAGGCAGCAAGAGAGTTTGTGTTAAAAACTCCGAACAAACACGGGCGACCACTTTTAGATAGTTGTGCCAGTGGTAGCTCAGACCGGAACATTTCGAGCAGCAACACGGAGCAAAAAGAAAGGACGAGCGGAAGTAAAACAACCTCAACCCGCGTCCTTTCGTCTTTGTCTCTGAGGCCGGAGTATACGAACTTTCCGCGTTCGCATTGTTTTCTGCGCCCTGAATATGCGATGAAGAACATTGGCGCGACAGTTTCCCACAGTTTATGTTCTCTGTCCAGCTTATCTGTAAATTTCCCATGCTCGGTATTTTGTTTTCATCGCTTACATATACGAAAGCTAACACGGTTTAGTGAGCGTGGTCGCGTTTTATATGTTTCCTTCATGGTTTACTTTACTTTATGGTCACCATTGCCTTTGTACTTATCACTGTATTTGTTGCACATTCTCTCACCAAATCACGGTATCTCACACATACATTTCAACGAGGACCCGGCGCAGATCGTTTGGAATCAGGCTGAACTTCGTTTGTGGAGCAAAAAGCAAAGGGGATATCGTTTTTTGCGGAGTCGAGTCGACGATAAGCGCTATTTAATCAAACACAAGTTTTTCGGGTAGGTTATCACACGATTGACATGCTCTATCATGTATTGCAGAAAGTGCTCGCGATTTGAAAGCAAGGCTAAAATAAATAAATTGCTTGTTTACAGCGCACATAGAATTATATGACCCCAAAATTGAACTGTGTACATGGAAAATTATTTGCGGGGGAATTATGTACAAAGACTTGGAAACATATGTGAAGTAACCTTTACCTTTTCCAAAATTAGTCCGTTTCCAGACGGCCATCAGACGAGCTGAGCTCGTCCGGAGCATATATTCCTGTCCTCACACGAGTTTCGGATTTTTTCTTAGCATGGACGGATGCCTCAGAGAACCCATCTCTGAGCATAAGGACAGTTTCATATCGCCTCTCGTCGTCGTTTTTACCCTCTTCTTCTCGAAAATCGCCTTAGATAACGCGCCCCAGTGTCAACTTTTGCGTCCTCTCCCTTTGAATTTTCATTCCCAGTTCCCGCTTTGTTTTCAATATTCCGGCGATTTCTTCCGTTTTTCTTTCTTCCTCTTCTTCTAATATTTGATGTAACAACAGTCAGAGCGTGGGGGAGGGTAAAGCAAGGGACAGAAGGGACTTCGTATTTCGAGAGTCAGGGGGACTTCGTTTGCAAAAAGCCTAGAAACGGACTCGTGCCTGGCCTTGATCTCGACTCATATTTATCATTTGCTTGTACTACTCGTATGCTGTCTGTTCGTGTATCCTGATAACTTTAGTTAGTGCATAATAAAGTTTGATTATCCAAGCTTGAGGTGTCGCAATCTATGCTGTGCCCGCATAGCAGTCAGCGCAGAAGTCCCGGCGTGCAATACACAGTACTGAGCGAGTGTAAGCTGCGTGTTGCTAACAAGTCAAATAGGTATGAAAAGCGCAACAAGCACTGAGACCAAGGCTATATCTTTGTGTACGTCTTTTAAAAAAGAATCTATCAGAATTTGATCCAGGGAACACTTCTTTTACTTTTTAAACGATAACTTTTCGCTTTCCTTTGCGCAATTCTAGCCAAATTTCCAGTATGCTACTACACATGCCTTTACTTGAAATTTCAAGCTTTTATTCCTAAATACTGCAAAGCATTCTCTTGGAAGTATGTGTAGACAAAAGCGTGCTCTGTCATATTGCACAAGGTAAAAGAAGCCGTCATCGCGAAGGCGTGCTACGTACCTTACTATGACTACCTGCGTGCCACGACAGGCCTAGAGCATGGTGGTTATGATTCCGTCGCGCTGCGATTTCTGTGAAACGACAACTGTTACGCACTAATCGCATGCCCTCGTGTCTGCTATGTCGGTTGCGGTAGTCGTCCGGCGCGACGGATCGCAGACCCTTTTTGGCTAGGGTATAATTCTGCAGCAATGATCGCCGCGATTTCGGCAGAACCCAGCGATGTCGCGTCGCGCGTGCTGCACAGGAGTCTGGGCGATATCGCTGAGGTGCGAGGAAGAACTTGAGAATTTTTTACGGACAGGCGCCAATGTTTCAGTGTTTTTGTTTGAAAACGAAATGAAACATGTTTAACACATTGACGACAACACGACCCACCGGTGGGTCGTACGTGCCCTGCCATTTCGGACAATACGACCCACCGGTGGGTCGTAAGATTCATGAAGCGCTATCTTTGCCAGTTTTAGATGGAATTCTACGAGGTTTTGGCACATGATTGGGGGCACCTAGGTGAAGTGAAGCCAGAATGGTCCGGGCTCGGGATACTGCAATGCAATGTTGCGGTAGGTATACGGTAGATAGATATAAGGGACAGACTTTTAGCTCAAATTCTTCGCAAAATGATGCTGTTTCTGGAGAATCAAGTTTACTGTAAGAGTAATACGAGAAGGGCAAGAGGCTGACGTTAGCCCACCAAAAAATCATCGATTTTATTGTTACTGATTTTTTGCCTTTTTCATCCTAGGAAGCTCGAACTTTGCATATATAGGTTTTGTAGCATGCTGATTACGAAAATGATAGTCTCAGGTTTTGATACCACCTTCTTAGATTAGTTTCGTGATTTTTGCGAAAATTTTACCGTACTGCTACCGTAGCCCCACTTTGTTCACTACTGTGGGACAGTAGTGAACAAAGTGGACACTATAAATGTAATCAGCACGTGAAACAACTCCAAAACACAATTTTTCATGGAAATCTATGGTGTCGGTTTCGTACAGGACGACTACCGTAACCTTACTGTATGACGCCAAAAACTGAAATAAACTGTTTTTCATTGATCAACGCCTTCGATTACCCCTCTGGAAGAATTTTCGGGGACATGTTTTGAACTTTGCCCAGAAAGAGTACCATCTCGGACCATACGACCCCCGGGTGGGTTGTAATTTTGACGAAGCGAAGAAGGCTCCTGTCCGAAGTGGCAGTAATCGAAAAATCGGCCTTGTCGTCAATGTGTTAAAGTAGTTGTACAAAGATACTTCCTTTCTGACGCCTTCCTAACCTTAAATTGTCGGATGACTTATTTTTCGAAAGTGTAAGTATTTTTGACGAGATGGTTGAAGTGTTTTCTGGATCATTTTTGTGTTAGAGTCTTTGCTTTTCGCAAAGTTAATACACATTAACACTTTGGTTGTTTGCGTGTTCTTACGTTTTGCTGTCCGTATGAATAAAGCAGAATTCTCATCCTTAATAGTGCACCAACATCAAACGGTTATGTGCTTGTGTTTTTGCTACCTTCGCAGTGATGCTGTGCTTGACTTTTTGAGAGCTTTTGATATGGATCTTTGCTAAAGCACCACAAAATCCACGTACTAGCTTGTTCCTCCTAAAAATTTGGTGAGGTTAGTCTTAATAGTAGCTGTTGGCTCGCAGAGGCCGACGTTTCCAGGTGAGATTCGCTATGCTAAGAAGTGGTAAGCTCGTGAAAATTGGATTTGCTGAAAGGTGAGCAAAATGTGAGAATTCTTTGTACTCGATTTAATCACGATCGGCGTGAGGGCTCTATGCTGAGAGTGAAGTGAGTAGAATGATAACGTACATCGCACGAGAACAGTCTGCTCAATTTGCGTGCACCTGCCCTGTGTGTACAAGGATATGAAATCGCGAGCACTATGCCCATGCACGCGTGACGGACGACTTCGTCATCACGTTTTTATCGCCCAAATATCGAAATCCACGGCGATGAAATCGCGACGACGAATGCGAACACTATGCACGCTGCCACAGGTGGACTTGCCAAGATTTTGAAGGGCTGCGTGGATCTCAAAAATAGTATTAAAAAACTAAGCTGTATTTGTAAAGGTTCAATTTATGTTGCACCAAATTATCTGTTTCTAGGTATTTCACTTCTTATTTTACCTGAAAAAATACTAGGCTCAAGGAACTTTTGCCGCACCCTGTATATAAGAAGGTCTCCTTACCGAGCTGAGTCACGTTACCTTGGATTCAGTCGTCCACTCTAAACCAAGATATGGCGATGCAGCGGTGGTAAACTCCGGTAAAGTTCGGTGGCTGCTTTGACGAGCAATTATCATGAGCGGTACGTACAAGATAAACCACCAAAAAATGTCGTGCGCTACCGATAATGCACATAAAGGGGATTTAAGAAGAATATAGGCACTTGCAGATAGCACTGAGTGAAAATTGTTGTAGAGTAGTAACAAAAAACACAACAGTAACTTCAGTAACAACTCCCATTGTATTTATAGTTTCAATTTCTTAAATTAGCTTCAGTATACCTACTTCACCAATATTTCTTCTGCTCGTACCTATATCGTTTTTAAGATTCCACTGTTTGGAGATCAAATGCGAAATGCTCAAATGATGGCTCGACAGGGAGGAGCACTTGTCTTGGACAAAGATGATCTTAGTGACGCAGACAATCTAAAAAACGCATTCAAAGCAATTATCAATGAACCGCGGTATGGCTATCATTTTCCAAATATGATGGTTTTCCGAGAATGTGAAGCATTAGTAGTACTTCACATAAATATCGTCAACTGCAGGTATGCGAAAAACGCTCTTCGGCTCTCGCAAATGTTGCGTAATCAGCCAATCACACCACAAGAGTTGTTACTACGACACGCAGAGTTTGCGGCAAAGTTTGTTGCAGAGTATAGTTGATTTTATTATGATACAGTGCTCTTAAGGTGCCGAAAACACTTGCTTATAAAGGTCTGGGGAGGATGACTTGAAAAGTGCGCTCTATCGGGTCTTTCGTCCATGGATGTCGCGAGTTGCGAGGCCGCTACTGAAGGCAATAGTTTTTTGCCACAAAATCGCGCCGCCTCCATTTTTGACTTTAAAAGAGGATTGGCAGTGCTGCCCATTTTCGTTTTCACGAAGGAGAACATGTCGCGTGTTGAAAGGTGTTCAAGTTGCTTCCCTGAAGCGCTATCCACTTCCGCGGGCCTCCTTTGCTCGGCATCACAGGGCTGACCCGAGCAAGTGTTATTGACATTGTAAGTGCTTGAAGCATCCCTGAAGTGCGCTAACAAATACGATAAATTTAATCTATTTATTCAGATTTGGACGGTTCTCAAACCTTGACTCGTATGGCAGGCGTCTGTCTACAACACAGTATTATCTTCTGGATATAGCAGCAGTTGCAGTTATTATTATGATACTGATCGCAGTAGCAATTACGGCTTTAGTGAAAAGATGGTGTTTCTCTCGTCATCAGAAAACCAAGCTGGATTGATACTGTGAAACTTTGACTTTTTTCGAATAATGGTATCTAGTAAATGATGTGTATAAATGCAGAAAGAGGATTGCAGGATATTGGGAGAATCAGACTGAAAATCTTTGGAGAACTAAAGCAAGGCGAAGGAGATATCGTGTACTGCTTCCTAGCAGAATTCCCCCCCCCCCCCTTAAAATCATCGCATCTGTATCGGTAACGTAGGGTGAGTCGAAAGTAATGGGAAGTTTTGGCAATTTAGTTCCTCATCATATTCTTTCTTGCAAAATCCTATTCGCCCAGGATTGTCCATCAATAGCCAGCTTTCCGCTTTAGCCTGTGCTGTAGTTCACTGATGTAGATGCGTCTTGGTCGCCAGCTTAGTTGCAGCACTGCAAGACCCTCCCTCCTTCCATGTTCTGGATGACATGATTCGAGACAGATTCACTTTGATCCGCCTCACTCTCACTCTTAAGCCGCCGACGTTTTTATAGGCAGAAATAAATCAACCTTACAGACTTCAAATTTTATTCCACTGATGGTTGATGATGGGGAGAGGGGCGAAATTCTTGAAAGTTACTTATATGGGTAGAATTGTGCAAATGACTTGTTTAACTTGTAAACAATCAAAATATTTTCTTGCATTTTCTAAAAATTTATATTAGCCCTAAAAGGAAATTTTTTGGGGCTGTATTGGTTAGTGGTGGGGATATATCAGAACTAAAGGCTTCGAATATCAAACCACAACCAAAAGTATTGCCACGCGGGACTTCGTATACGCACGAGCACACCTCAAACTTGGGTAATTAAACTTTATCTTGGCAACAAAATAGCAACAATAAACACGTTTAAACAGATAACAACAAACACGGGTAGAACAAATAACAAAATACATTACTAAATGATGAACTACAAATAAAAATGATATGATTGAAAGAAGGCACAAATATACGAGTGAAATAATGTTAAAACGAATGAGCAAGAGTCGTACATGTGAATAACTCTGACTGTGCAATGTCAGCTACTTATATGCGTGATCACATATCAAGCCACGGCTGCGCGCGACATCCTACTGTTAGCTAAAAACCTGAGCAATTCACATCTGACGCGAACATCTGCGAATTCTTCCAATAACAAAAACGATGCAAGCTGCTAAATTCATCGATGCTGTGCAATTGGCAAAGTGTTACTAAACTACAGGGATGTAACAAATTTGTATATTGTGAGAGAGAGAAAAGAACAATACGAACTACGAAGTTCGTATAGGGGCTGCCGCCCTCCTTTTTTTCTAATATTTTGAGGTCGTGGGCCCGCAAAAATTCTGGGAAACATCCCAAAAATCTTTTCGGAGTGCGTGGTTAACGCTACGCACCTTCACTCAGAAAAAGTTTCTGTCGCGCCCCCTCCCGGTCCGGAATCGTGGGACTGCCACTCTTTTATTCATATACTAGCTGACATATCCGCTCCGCCGACCCTGTCAAAACACTATGATAAAGGAGGCCACCATCCCTATTTGTACGACCTTTTCCTGTGCTCACCCTACATGCTCCGTTTTGTTATAATCACCACCCAGGGCTCGGCACGAGGTGGTTTTCCGAAAATGCAAAAAAACTAAGTCCCACTTGACTTTCCTCAATGTTTACGAAGTCCCCTTTGATCCTTATCCGAAGTATCCGAATCGTCTGAAAGAAATGTCGACTAAAACAAAACCTAACTCAGGATCCACAAAAATATCTCCTTTGGTTTTTGTTCCAAAAAAACGGTATCTAATTGCATATAAGACCCGTGTCGAGCCTCGTCACCACGTACCCCCTGTGCCATCTCCCAGCCTCGTAGCTCATATTTTGGAAAAAAAAACTAATAAAATCGACAAAAACAATCGATACTTCAAAAAGTAAAATTGTATTCGTAATCAGCTTGCTCACTTACCTCTTTGGGCCAACTTCCAGCGCCGTAGGTCGAACGTTAAGAACTCCTCAGGGAACATGACACATAGTGGAGAGACTGTAGATGCAGCCCTCCTCGTCTCAATGCGGGGTTCCAGACACCTCTATACGCGCATTATCAAGGAGCTTTCTCGGTTCTCTACTTCGTCATTTGGCTTAAGAAAGCTGCAAAATTGCGCTTCATGAACTAAGTGAAGAACAGACACAACGAAGAATGAATATAGGCAGAACCTTCTGCATTACCTTGTGATTTCAGTGTTTTCAACCAATAAGTTGTGTTAAAATGGGTCCACTACCGTAACACTGTTCTAGGAAAGCGATGACTTGGTAGAAATCGAAGGCCGCAGCCAACTTTGCGATAGCTTGTCCATGAGAGCTGGTTCTAACAAACTTGAAGAGCAACAAGTGAATGAGATGCCTGGAATCCTGCTCCAAAAATACTAGGCTTTGGTGAGCAGGAAAAGTTCCTACAACAAGATAATGCCCTACCGCACACCTCCCGTATTTCACCGAATAAAATCAAGAAGCTTGACGATATGGGGTTGCTTACTCATCCTGTATATTCTTCTGACGTAGCGCCTTCGGACTACCATAAGTTCCGATCGATGGCGCATTTCTTGAGGAATATTTGCAAATCAAAGCAGGGTCAGAAATGTGCACACAGAATCTGCACCAAAAGCCGCAGTTTGTTGAAAGGAAAATTTAATTGGCAGAAAGATGGATCGAGATTATCGATCACGAAAATTTATATTCTAACAAGGAATGCATACCATAATAAAGGGCATAAATTGCTGATTCCAAATCTGCCTTCCTTATCTGCAGAGCATTCATGGGCGAGGAGTTATGAGCGCTTATTGGGGCAAAAAAATGAATGTACAAATAGGACAAAAATATTTTTTTCTAGCTCTTCAATGGAACCAGTGATGAGCATTCAGAGCACTTTATTTGAAAAATACTCTCAAATAAAAAATATATCACGCTTAGTCGCATTATTTGAGGGCTAGTAAGACTTTAGCAACTCATTTTATCCCAAATGCACATTCAATTTTTAGCTTTAAAAAAACACTCATAACTTCTCGTGCATAAACGCTCTGCAGGTAAGGAAGGCAGATTTGGAGTCAGCGTTTTATGCCCTTCAATATGGTATACATCTCATTCAAAAAGGCCACTTCGACTAAACAAGCTTCACCTGTAAGAAAATATTATTTCTCTGATTACGAATCATAGGTGCGATAGGGGGAGCCGAGCTCTCAACAGGTGAAGGACGTCTCGACTGTTTCCGACCTTCCAGGTGAAGGGGTTATGTGAGCCTGGGGGGGGGGGGGAGGGGGAAGAGGGAGAAGAGGGAGAGAGAAAAGGTAAAAAAGCGTGGTATGAAGAGCTCTAATTTGTACCTTATTTAGGTCATGCTTGCGATGGGGCAGAATAAGGAAAACCGTTGCAAATTTATTTGAACAAACTTTGTCATGTATTAGCAATATGTTGCGCCAATGTATCTTACATAATTGAAGTTTATATTGTGATTTTATGGAGATCTGTGCTCCTGTTTCATTGCATCAACAAAAAACGAACACAATAAGGTTTATTCAAAAAGATGTACAAGTTAGGAACAACTTACAATTCCTGCACATCATCATCAATAATATCACTATCGCTAACGTCAGAGACAACAAGTTCGCTGCATGAGAGATCTTTTTCTTCCTCCAAGAGGCCATCGGAGTAGATGTAGAATTGCGTGAAAAAGCGTTCTGCGTCGAAAATGGATTTAAGACGTTCTTCTTTTTTTTTGAGCGCTTTTGTAATTTTTTTCCTGGCCTTCTGGTAGCACCAGGAAAGTCAGCAGGTAGGTAACCAGTTTCTTCGTACCGTCTTTTAGGATATTTCAAAAAGTCATACGGTGACAGCCCGTCTGGACCACTTATGGCAATCTTTTAAATGAAGTTTTTAGATGACTATGTTTAGTAGAAGGCTGACAAACCCTAAGTAATTGCTTAGATGCTCCACTGTTGTGCGACTTCTGCGTTGTGTTCTGATAACAGAGTAGATAAAAAACCTCTCTCCAGCTCTACCGCGCTAGTCGGAATGGAAACTAGCTTTGCTAGTAAGTCCATCAGATTTTTGCGGTAAGTAATGGGGAAAGAGCCAGATCGCATATGCTCGCAACACGGGAAGGAGATATTGCATGCTTTTTTGGGCCTTGTCGAACTCTGGCTTCACCTCTTCTGGCATACGTCTTGTTAGCTGACGAGAAAGCTGCTCAACTTCTTCTTTAACAGCGTCTGCGGAATAGCCGAAAAAAGTAGATACTATGCTGCGCGTTGGTTTTTTTCAATATCACAGGTCAAATGTCACAAGGCGAAAAACTTCCAGAAGCATAAAGCACAGAGTTGGGTTCGTACTCCACTCGGGATCTAAGAGCAGTAGCTATGCTTTGTACTAACACCTTCCTTTTGTTCATATCCATATTCGTATATTCAACAGCCTTAAAATCTTCAGCAACCTGAAGATCAGCAATGGACTTCCTGCACATTTCCTCATTGAAACTAGGCAATCTGCTTGGATTCCTTATGTGGGAAATCAGAAAGTTTCGCTCAATTGTCAACTCTGTATCAATGTCGACAACATTTTCGTCGGCGTAAGATTTTCCTTCTGCCTCGCTGTTAAACTGGAACACATGCGAGTCGTCTGCGATTTTGTAAAGTATTCTACCTGCCGTTTCCTCTTCAAACTGCCAACTTTTCCAAAACATTGAAGGATATTTTAATAACACGTTGTTCTTCTGAATGTCTCAAAGTTTTTGATTCATTGAAAAACATAAACATACAACAACGATAAGCACGCTTAAATAGACGCCTTCCCGTTAGTGCTGATAACGATGTCAATCCACAGCACATTTTTAACTATTAGCTTGCTCCGCCTCGCTCTTACAATGTGTTGGCTTTTATCGGCCACCGGAGCAAGTGATTTTAGAGCCGGGAGGCAAAGAAGTCCTAACATGCCTTAAACCATTCGAAAGCTGAGATCATGGAGATTCAACATAGACCGTCACTTTTTTCTAGGTCTTCTGTGTCGCAAGATATGAGGGATCTTATGTACTTCAAAAATCAACTGATTTTGTGTCCTCGCTTTCTGCTCTCCAAATGAACGCTACGAGAACGTCGATGGTCTACGTTTGTTAATGAAGACTTGCTCTTTAACACAGATAGATAATCATCAGTGATTATGTCTTCGTTTGGCAGAAATCTGCTGTCGAAAATGTACATGTTTTCAGATAAAATGCGGTGTACCTATCGGTAGAGGGGGACTAGAAAGAAATTAATGGTCTAGTTCGAATCCCCTTTTCCTGAGCTTTCGAACGGTATATAGGTTGCTGGGCGAAGAAACTTACCAGTTTTCAAAAATGGGGTGGAGGTATTTACTATTAGCTTGATCGGTCACCGGAGCAAATGATTTTTAGAGCCGGGAATCAAAAAAGCCTTCCATACTTTATACCATTCGAAAGCTGAGATCATGGAGAATCGATGTAAACCGTCACTTTTTTCTAGGTCTTCTGTGTCGCGAGCTATGAGGGATTTTATGTACTTCAAAAATCAACTGATTTTGTGTCCTCACTTACCGTCGCAATATACCCAAGAGTCGTAGCTTTGATACAAAGAAGTGTTGATTATATTACTAAAATAAGATTGATTAATTTTCAAGGAACTGTAACGCTCAGGGATGTATTTATGCTCGGAAAGCTGCTCGGAAAGAGTTTGTGCTTCTGTAGATGCTTTTTTTTATAAATAAATAATATGAATAAACATAAATATTGTTTCTTTTGTAAATTTATGGGTGTACTTGTTGTTTAAGGTACTTAGTCTGCAAAACCTTTTAATAACGTTTTTTATTTCATATTCTCAGAGTACACTACCAATCTCAGCCCAGGTGAAGGGGGTCACCCGGAATTTGGCCTCAAAGAGAAGGGGGTAAGATCCATCACTTCTTCTATCGCAACTATGTTACGAATGCTAAACGTTTTGAATTACTCCTATTACTTTTGACTCACCCTCACATCTCCAAAACAGTGGCGTGGTTTCAGTTTGTTATGTTCATTGGTCGAGTACTTTCCCATTTGAAATGCACTCGATATTCTCTTTCTATAGCGCATAGTAAAACCTGTTTAGCGCAACTCGGTTATGTCTTGTACCACAACAATACGTCAACTGAATTGTTCTGTAAGTCATTCACGAGCAACTTACGGAAATTTTGTCTGACCTTTATTGTTTGCACACTGTCTTCCTCGGTTCCCCATAGAACCTGCCTCGGCTAAGTAGCAGTGGCACTGAGCTGTCATTGGCACATGCCCGGACGGCCTTCTGATCGTTCAACTGACTATCCTGGAATCCTAAAACACGGAAGGGTGGGGGGAGGTCTTTTGTTCAACCTAGGAAGTTTTTCTGAATGTTTAATCTCAGGTTAAGAGATGAATGGGAGTTTACTATGGGCATGTCTTTTTTCCATATATCAGCTTTTGCTTTAACTAGCCGGTAATGAGAGACACATAGTTTATTAGTCGGAAACTTTATCCTGTCCATAATAGCACGCTATATCAATATTTACATATTCTGACGTTGGAAGAGACACACTCATACGATACAAAACATTTCAAGCTATAAAATGTAACACTCTACGAATCATGAGAGATCCAAATGCTTATTGCCATGACGAGTTCAACTAAATGAGTCGTAATCGGTTGGCGTTGTGGAAGTGAAGTAGCCTGCACGCTAGGGGGGGGGACTCCGGAGAAGGAAATACTTTGCACATTTGCACAATTATGCTTGGTTAGTAAGTCATGGAGGTTCATTAGTCCGCTAATAGGAGAGAACACATTAGTTGAGATCACTGTGATAAGAATGTGAGGGGGTTCCCTGTTGTTTTTTTTGCGTGTTTCAGCGAAAATCATAGTGCAGCCCTCTACGTTTCTGACCAGTATTAAAATAGCGTTTCCCGCACATTCCCATCACTGTTACCGTAATTCAGTTAAAATGGCACAATAAGTATTGTCAATAGTTAGTCAGTACGTTTGGCACGGACGGACAACTTTATCCTCTTTTCATATTCTCATTTATCTTTGTCGAAATAAGCCATGGGAGCTCGCTGACGTTGTCTAGCTGCAAAAATTAAGACTGGAGCGTTTTTGCGAAGAAAATTGAGACTTTCGAACACTTACAAAGTAATCCGTGTACTCCTTGAGTGTATCTCTGTTGCCTACTCCAGTCAAAACGCCAACGCTAGCCCGTAGACCGGCTACACGACCCATTTTCAAGTCAGCGATCGTGTCGCCAACCACTATTGCTTGCTGAAAATAATATTTGTTCTAAGAAGGATCAAACCTTTTTTAATGTAGTTTTGGTTTTTTTTTCAGCGTCGAAGCTTTCTAGGAGACATTTGTAGGCACATTTTTCTGGTCAGACGTAATTCCACAAACAGTGATTCCAAGGTAAATTGCCAACGATTTCTTCAAAATCATACTACCAAAGCCTACATTCAGTGGCACTCCGAGCCGTTTGCATATTTGAACAGCACAGTGTGGGCTCGGTTTTGGAATGATGCCAGCATCGTTTCCGCAAACTATAAAATCGACCATACTCGCTATTCCTAACACGTGCATTTGTTCCTCGGTAGCTCTTCTGAAATTTCGTATTGGATACGAAATGAGTTCTTCTTCAAAGAATTGGTTACCTGCTATCGGACGTACAAACAGCAGTCTTGCAGCCGAGAGCACGGAGCTCACGGAAGAGTTTGACTAGATCGCACACCGGAACTGTAACGCCATTGGCGGCTTCTGGCACTCCTCGCTCTACAATAGCGTCGGCTTCCACTGCACTTATTCCGAAGGTCTAAAAGACAAAAACTGAAAAATTGCAAGTAATTTGTCATACTTTTTGAAGGCAAACAACCCCACCCCCCAATTCAGCGCTGAGTTCTAAAAAAAGCGCTTTGAAACTCCACCAATGACGCCCACTCGATGAAAATGGGCGGGGCTGGTGGAGTTTTGAAGCTCCTTCACAGGGCTCAGTGCATGAATTGGAGGGTGGAATTGGGGCTACGCTGTACTTGGGAGTACCTAATCTACCAAAATCTAATAGGGGTCCATTTTGTCAATCCACTACTTTTGAGCTCTATATAACGAAGCTTACCCCTATCACAAAGCTAGCTTATCCCTGTCATTAGCCTAATTCATGCACTATTCATTAATAATTTATGGACAAAGACTGGATTTTCGACATTTTCCTATCTTGAACTCTATGAAATTGCCCACTAAACTGATAAAAGTCCGTAGCAAAAATTTCTTTGTTAAGTTCCGCACGTAACTTCATTACCTTCCATGTCGGCTTGCTGGCTTTCAAAAAAACCAGTGATAAAAAAAAGAATTAAGGAAAATGCAGCAAAAAGTCAAATCTGAGCGAGATACAATATGTTCTCTAATGAGATTTTTTACTCTTTATCAGCAACACCATTTTACAGCTTATTTTCCAGTTCATTTAGCGAGTTTTTGGAATGGTCGATAATGAGAGAAAAAACAAATGGGCATTTCCGGTAAACTAGAAAGCTGATGAAAGTTCATTGCATAAAATGATAAAAGAGAACGTTTCAATTGCTATCTCAATATCTGGGGAGCGAAAACAAAGATTCAGAAATTAACGGAGTTCAAGAAAGCAAATAATTATTGCTGCTGTATCGAAGGGATTTAGTTTGCACTGAGAAAAATGGAAGTCATAGTGAAAGCGGTAAAAAAAGGTTGTTCCGAATTGGTACCTATCAATTCGAAACAAGCTCGTGATAAGGAAAGTGGTTGAGAAAAAAACCCACGCACACCGGAAAACTTTGATTTTTGAAATACTCAGTTTTTTTTCGGAACTACAAGGCGTGCTTTTTATCATACTTCAAGATACTAAAAACAAGTGAAATATTTTCTTCACCTGGAGGGTGGCCGAGACATCAGCGCGAATACCTAAGAGCGTCTTCTCTGCAAGTGCGCCCATGGAAACCTGCAAAGAATGTTAAGTTACGTTTTGAAAAAAAATTATTGTTTGTTCAACATTCTACATTCTCCACTTATGCCAAGCATACTCGCGCGCTACTTGCTTTAATGGAACTCTAAATATCTTGCAATTTCTCTTGCTTGACTCGAGCACAATGGCATGTGTGGCGTTTGCAAATAGCGATTACGTAATTTCGTGGGACTATGATTTTACAAGAATTATTATTTCTGCTGTTTCAGCGTAAGTCTCAATGAGTCCATATGTCCGTCACGACATCTATCCTTGGGGAACATTGGTAGAGCATTGGAATTACGTCATCCCGGCAAGGCTACGATATTTGCGGAAATCTCTCGAGAATCCTTGCATCTCTTCCAGAAGACAATAGACGAGTACATTCAATCTCGTCTTGAAGAGATTCAAATAATGTGTGTCGAATCACTTTCGTTTCTGAGAGAACAGTCAAGGCATGACCAGGCATTAGATGATCTCTAAAGCGGCTAATCTGGAGATTTTACAGCTTGGCGTCACCACATAAGGCAAGAAGTGATCGGGTGGAGGTGGCTTTCAGCTTATCAAAAGCTTATTTATATAAGCTGTTATCAACATTCTCATGATCAGTGTGGAGGTTTTACATCACCGAACACGTAAGTCTGCGGAAAAAAAACTGACAAAAATCGGCAAATGTGCTCAATACATCCTAGTTGTCTTTCATTAGCTTACTTAATGATTTATTATTCAGTGAACCAGTTTTTCAAAGGAGGAGGAAATCTACAATAACGTGACTTAGTGACACACTCTATTAGAAGGAATACATTGTAGCAGTGGCGTACCCAGGATTTCGGCTCGGAGGGGGGGGGGACAAAAAATTTTTCAATGAAGGCGCGTGGCGTTAGCCACGCACTCCGAAAAATTTTTGGGATGTTTCCCAAAATTTTTCCGGGCCCCTGACCCCAAAATTTCAGAAAAAGGAAAAAAAATTTTACAAGGCTAATTTGAATTTTTAAAAATTTATAAAAATTGCTCCAATCATTTACAAGTAAAAACAAGTCCTCTGCACATTTTTATAACACATTCAATTAACTTTCAAAAATTTCCCCCCCCCCCCCCCCTCGGTACGCCACTGCTGTAGTGATTTCTGAAGCGAAACTGGGTTCTAAAATTCTAAAAATCACAGAGACCAGCCAGCAATTGCGGTACTCGCGGATCTATTTTATGGTTATGATGTAAGCGGCAGTAAGAATAAGCGCTTATCGCATATGAGTAAGTACGTTGACAGGCTAATATGCAAAAATACTTAGTCATTCGTCAAAATACTTATTTTTTTTATGTGTAAGCATAGTTACAATCTACATACCCTTCCTTTAATGGGATCGACTCCAAGCGTTTTGTACACAGCCGGTCCAACAGGCTTTCCAGTTGCTTTTTCCAGTCTAAAATTCGTTCTTTGAGTTTCGAAATCGTTATCTAGAACCTACAAGGATTTGAGTTAGTTCTTTGGATTTACAAATTTTATGGTCTTTGCAGGTAATTTGTAAGCTTCCAAATGCTTTATGTGCATTTATTATCAGTCGTACACATCTATAAAGAGCAGTTTCTATCTCCACACAGATGTGAGTCAGTTTAAGTCATTGTTCTCGGAATCAGAACAAGGAACTATGCCAAATATCATGCTAATTTTGCCGTTTGATGTAAAATGATGTCAGTCTAATTTGAGCGATAAGCAAATGGTGAGGCATATGGACAATTATCATCACACATATCTCATCGCAAGAGTCGTTGACATAAAAAGACAATCAAGTACGCGGATTCGGCAGATTTGCGTTGAGCTAAGCTTAACAAAAAAAAGAACTTTTTCCTAAAAGCCAATCACCTACGTCAGTAGATTGAATGCGATCTTAGTTAACAAGCTATCTTCTTTGGTGAATAAAAAGTCTATTCTTCTAGTTCCCTTTTCTTTACCATTAAGACTACAAGGAAAAGTGTGATTATTTCATCAATACACTTTTGGCCTACTACGTTCAGGCGGCCCCAGCTTGCTTGCGCACTCTCCATTCTCGTGTAAAAAAATTTCAGAAATTCAGAGAAGCTAAAAAGTATTGGCTACAACCTTCGCGTGAGCTAAAGCGGCCAAGTCGGCTACAGTTCTCGTAGTTGGTAGTACTACTACTGGATCCAAGCCGTCACGGTGAGAGCACGACGATCTATGTCACCAAATAATCATCTAAGAAGGGAAGGATACCAACTAAGTTGACGATTATAGACGAGATGTGTATTGCTAAACGCGTGTCAAACGCTGATTCTGAATCTTTTTTTTCCTCTTTGCGGATAGCTCTACGAAATAAGTTATGAGCATTTGAATGTCCAAAATTATCAAGCATTAAGTGGCTTAAGTTAGCGATTGTTCTAAAACAGCACTCGTGCGGATTCTCAACGCCTTTGCTTCTTTCTTGCAGTCAATATACTTGGTACAAAATCATCCACTCCCTTTTGGGAGTTTATGTGCACTTTTTCGCGAATTTTAGGCCACCTGAAGTTTGACAAATTTGGGCATTCAAACGTTCATAACTAACTTCTTTTGGAAAGTTATTCCGCAAAAAGAGAAGCATATTTGGAATCAGCGTTCAATGACGCGTCTAGTGATATAAATCTCGTTTTCAATCGTCAACTTATGTTGCTATCCTTGTCTTATAAGACTAACAGCCAAAAAATTGTCTTTGCAGAATTTTTGAATGACACTATGAACCAATGAGCCACCGAAAAAGTGCCACCGATATGCAAGTACAGCTGCTGCTCCACAAAATAGTTAGAGATATGCATCAAATACAAAGATTTAAGTAGTTTGAGTTTGATGTAATCTTCATTGAATTTACTAGCCTGGTGGTACTTATTGAATGGAGAGCATGCACATACCCTTATGCCGAAAATCAACAGCTAATTCGTTCATTATTACCGCACGAAGTGTAATATTATATTGAAAGTGTTCCCTAACTTTTCTCGTCTTGCAGTAGGACTGAGGCAGGTTATTCTCACTAACGAACACGTGTTTGATTTCATCAAACGAATGTTGCTTGTTATTTTCGGGGTTTTTTTTGCTCCACCTACGAGCGCGGAGTTGATAAGTGACAGCTGAAAAGTAGCCCGCATTTATATTACGTACTTAACAGACTGTGAACCGGCTTACTACTATAGCGTAACTCTCATGTCATATCCAGCAAAATGGTGCTCAGAAGTTTTGAAGCAGCGCATTCGACTAAATATAACATACTAGCGACCCTACGGGTCGCTAGCAAGTGGGTAGGGGCAGATACAATATAAGGGCTTAGTTGTGATTATAAATATTTCTAAATAAGTTTCCTATGCCTTTGCTGAGAACATCTTTGCGAAGCATTTTACAAAAGGAGAACTTTTCGAAGAAGCAATAATCTCCACAAATCATTCAGCATTTCTCGAAATTCCTGCTGCAACCATGCATGGGGTATTATTTTTTTCTTGTTTACCACGCTCTTTCTGCAAATTTCCCCTCCTCACAGAGACATTCAGATAACCCCCCCCCCCCTCTTTTCTACCCTCTCAAAGAGAATTTGCTCTTCCAGTTCTTCTCAACAATTTCCATAGAAGATCGTCAAGGAAGTAGAAGAACACCTATCGTTTTGGAAAACATAACATATAGCATATCAGTGCGTCAGCTCTGCTTCGCAGAATCTCGCACTGGTAACCATCTATATGTCTTACTCATTCTCTTTTGATCTCGCCAATGACTACCACGAATGAATCGTAAAAAACTACTCATTTCAGAAGTTTTTTCACGATAACTCGGTAATTTTGCGTGGATGAGACTTCTCGTTAAAGAACAAATGCAAATTTGGGTTGGTTTTCAAACTTTTTATGGCTTGCTAGTTGCCATAAGGACAATAATCGCCGTGATCTAATAAATGCTTAGCGAATGGTCAGAATTCGAAGTGACCAATCCAAACAGGTATACCATTCTATGCAGCATAGGATGCTAACTTTAAATCTGTCTTCATGATCTACAGAACACCCTTGTAAGCGAAGTTCTGAGCAGTTTTACGCGAAAAAATCGTGCACAAAAATAGCGAAAATAAGCTTATTATTGTCCGTTTGGTTCATCATTAGGTTTGAACCATTTGAAATAACTTAGCTGGATGTTTTGGTTCAACATTAAGCCGAACATAGCTCTGCATGCCCAAATTTGCTCTTTGCACGCACGATTTCTTACCAAAATGATGGCCTTCAATGATCTAGAGCTCCATCAACAAAAGGTCCTGCACATAAGGAAGACAAATTTCGAGGCAGTGTTTCATGCTGCGTAATGTTATGCAGGATGCTTGGATTGGCCGCTTCGAATTCTGACCATTTCCTTGTTAAGTAAAATCTCAGCTAATTGACCGTTTACACAGCCAATTCTTTTTGGCGCCAGTTTCGTAAAGTAGTAGACTTTTGATCACTTTTTTGGGCTAATTTATAGCTTGCACATTAGCGTGCCATAACCAAGACCCAGCAAAAAGTAGAACTACGGACTCAATTTTGCGATCCAGAAGCCAAGTGGATCCGTTTGACCCGCAATTTTCAATGGATTCACTCAACAGATCCACTCATGCTTTTGCATGGTGGAATTTCATGTTGGTAGCATGCGCTGCGCAAAATTTGGGCTCGGGACGTTGGCTGGAAATATGCTGTACGAGTTTCGTAAAGGAAGAGGAAGGACAGACAGACACACACAAAAAAAGTAAACATCGTTAGCCCGATATTATAAGTTATTATATGATGTCGGAGCTGCAGAACCTTTATGTACTTCCATCAAAATGTATTGTGGAGGCTATTAAAAAGAGGCTAAAAGAAACCACATTCGCTTCCGCTTTACAAGCCAGATGTGGGATAATATTACCTGGGATTGAAAAGTGGATTTTTAGAGCATGCGTGCGTCTACCTTAAATCTAGTTATAAAAGCTGTACATTCATGTGCATGTAGCATACCTACTGCTATTGCAGATTTTCCGCCAATAAAGGGACAAGGAGATGGATGTAACTTACAGTTCTACTGTGGTCTCGGCCCATGGAAGCCACATACGGTGGAAATCCACGAGGGTACCATCCTTGTCGAAGATAACGAGCTTCACTCCGTTGTCCGCCGTCATCTGAATGGAAGGTGTGTTTTGAGTGGATGACTAGCGCGAAAGCGTTACGTTTACGAAGTCGATTTTACAGCAACACAACCGAGGCGAAAATTATGAAGAATGGGCAACAGGAGGAAATGGGGGTTTTTTGAATTTCAAAGGATGAGATTGAAGGAACGAAGTGAACGCGAGTACTTCTCTGAATTGTTGAAAGATTGAGAGTTGAAATTTGGTATACTATTCTAACAATAAGTTCGCAGACGGCTGGTGCAATGGTATGTGGAGCTTTTATGAAAGCTGGGATCAAAGTTCAATCCGTGGCCATCGGCCAGCCAAAGCCCTAATTCTGCGAATACGGTAAGTTAGTAGCTTATTGTGAACTGATCGCTGTCTAAGTAACGAGCTAACCCCCGCAAATCATTGTAAACCTTCGCAGACATTCAGAAACCTCTTCATCTGTTGAGAGCACTTTTCGGCCATGACCGCAAAAGGTAGACAAAACGGGCTTTGTTGTAGTTATTCGGGGCCTTTCAGTAATTATCTGGGCATACAGCGTATAAATCCAATTCAAGAATTTGTGATGCTCTGAAAACAAGTCAGTAATCAAATTTTGGGAATGACTGAAACTATGATTCATTTTGCACCTAAACACCATATAGGGGCAGGAAGTGGCGCACTTTTAGGACTTCTACTTGACTAGTAAACCCAGAATGGACTGAAGACAATGCCGTCCAGTGAGGATAAGCGAGGGCAAAGAGACAAAACCTGCCTAGAAAAGAAGCTTCTGAAGAATCGCTGATCGCAGTTGTTAACCAACACATAATCTTGCCAGAAATAAAATGGAACCGACCAGTTAGTAGATGAACCAGATGCCAACAGGATTGGAGGTACCATAAATACTCGTTACATTTTACGACCATATCTCAACAGCTGGCAAGAAGTTGTGGTGATGACAAAATGTCGGCCAAAATATCGAAACTTTAGCAGATTAGAAAACTTACCAAATTCCTTGCCAACTGGCTAAAAAATTGCGTGAAAAGAAAATGAACTCAATACATAGAGAAGGATAAGAGTAGAGTCGATGGCATTCAGAGTAAGTAACGCGAAGATTGGCCCAACTAGTAAAAGCCATATGCAAGCTGAGTAGCTGCTATGAAGAAGTAAAAGCAATGGGAAGCGAGAAAAGAGTGAAATCATTTCCATCAACTTCAGCTGTGTGCAGAAAATCCTTTGGGGAAGAAGAAAATGGTGCAATCAATCATAGCTTACAAATGACAAGAATTTTATCATATGAATGGCCGTTTGGTCAAGTAAGGAGGGGTTTAATAAGATTTGGCTTGCTCAAATCGCTGCGAAGCCATAAATTTCTGTCTAGCATAACTCGAAAAGCATAATGGCGGAGAAAAAAGGAGGGAAATTCAGGTAGAGAAACAAGTTTTACTGGCCCAAATCTCGATATAGGTAATCTGAGCATCCTACTTAACCTTTAAGGGGGAAAAAGGCCCGTCACCGACTCGAGAGCGGGGGGGGGGGGACTCGAAGAAAATGGGATGGAGCCGCCTGCGTCACACGGCACGCTATCCTAATCGCGATTTGGCAGACGTTGAAGCAGAGGCTGAGCGCGGAATCAAATCTGCCGTCTCGGCTGCCTCGTCACCACGAATTTCAGGAAACGTTACGCCCTCCTCAGAAACGAAATGGTGGGCGGAGTGCAGAAGAATGAATAATCGATGTCGCTGACGTAGGTGAGAAAGCCATGTTCGAAGATGACATCTCTTATGCGTTGTCTTTTCATTTTTCGAATGAATTTTTCAAGAAGGGATGAGCGCTAGGTCATGCTTGAACATGAGCAGAGGCGGACGTTGCTAGGAGCTGTGCAACTCGCGTTTTTCATCGGTCGCAGTGCTTTGGAAAAACTTGGTCGCAGAGATTTTTGGTTGAGGAGTAGGATAAGCTACCTTTGACAAGATATTGCTGTTTTTGCAAAATATACGCTCTTATTCTACTTCCGTTATCAATTCCTTATCTTCCAAAGCCATACTTAATTCTACAAAAACTCAAAGAAATCTATCATTGGGGCTTCTATTCCCTCTTCAAGAACTAATCATTTTTTCAAAAACAAAAAAAAAACACTCTTGTGCTACTGCTCAACTTGATTTTCACACTGCGCGTCTTATAATCTCCTCCCAACCATGCCCTTTTTCCCTCTTACCCTCTCCTACCCTGCCTATGTTTGATGAAGCCAGAAAGTAAAAAAAAACTGTATACCAAACTTGCGCTTAGCCATTTCACGTAAGTATGAAGTCCGTGATATTTGCGCCTTATCAAACTACGACTTTATCTGAGAATCTAGTAGCAATCTAAGTTTAACATCACTTAGGCCTCGGGCATAGTTCATGCGGTTTCAGTCGCAATGCTATTTGGCAACACTCCAGTTGTCCACAACTCATCGTAAGCGATTCTTATGAAACAGATGGATTTTTGTAGTCTCTAAAAGTTTTACACACTATGCATTTGTACCCTGTCAATGCTGGAAATGAACACATCTGGCAGACTACCAGATCGCATGGCGACTAGGATTGTGTGAAGCATGCACAGATCTTCAAGCCTAAGCGTAACTTTTTACTTGTAATAAACTTGTACCAGTTGTCTGCTTCAATTCTATACCTTATAATTTATTGCGACAATGATAGACCTAAAAGCTCATTTCACACTGCAGCGCTGACAATTCTCAACTCCTCGTAATTGATGGTAAGGATTAATACGACAATTTTATATGCAAATCTTCCCATAAGCATATGCATTTGATATTTCACTCCATACTAAATGGCACGCAATCTGCTTACTACTCCGATAACTCTTCCATCATTTAATCTTTGATTTCGTTTCGATATTAAATAGCACAGAAGGGGTCGTGAGTAGTTTGTACGATAATTGGCTCTCGCATATCAGTCGTTTTTTGTCGAAAAATAATTATCATTTGAATAAAGGCGGGAATATCTAGCGAGGCATAAAGTTTAGCTTATAATAAAATTGAATTTGTCATTAGAATGTCAATCAAATAGAATTTTCCACTGGTCTGCACCTTACCAGGAAGCTTTGTTACTTTTTCTTAGAATTTTCTGATGCGCCATTTGGAATGCAGTGAGTTCCAAGCATTTGAATATAAGCTTTTTTTGTCTTCCCATTCAAATCCGTAGACTCCTTTGAGAGAAATTTGATTTCCCCAATATTTGGTTAGCGGCAAAAGGTATTAGAAGAAAGACAAGCCTTCAAAGTTTTTAGGAATAATCCTTTAATCCACAGTCACCACAAAGAAGCATAAAGCAAAACGTTTTTATATTTAGCTTTGCGCTGCTGATTTCAATGAAAGAAAGAACTTGCGCAATTTTTGTTTGGAAAATGAGCATTATTTAAGCCGAGCAGAGGAGGATGGAAAGATTAAGTGACGTCATGCTGTAATATTAGCATGCTCAAGAGTTTCTAGAGGAGCTCAAAGTATTCCATCATAAAACACGAGGTGGGGAAAAACGTGAGAGATTTTTCGAATATGAAAGAAAAACAACTGGTGACAATTGATTTGAATTCTCAGATTTTTATGAAGAATTGAGAATTGAAAACAATAAGTTCTCAACAGAGACGTTAAGATGAGGGGAAGCGTCACAGAATGGGTCGCGATATACTTGTAAATAATCAAAATTATTAAAAAAAAATTTTAAATTCAATCTTTGCAGAAGAAAATTTTGGACCAGAGATTTTCTTAGAGTGCGTGGCTAACGCCAAGCACCTTCATTAGAAAGAAACTCTCCCCCCCCCCCCCCCTAAGGCCCCGGACAGACTTCACGCGACTTAATTGTCGCGATCTAATCGCCAAGATTTCCATTCATTTTCATTTCACATTCAAAAATTTCGGGCTGGAAAAGTATCACAACCAATGCAAGTTGATGGGCATGGAATGATGTTGTAACAGTTGTCTCGTCGCGATTCAGTCGCGACGATCAAATCGCGTGAGGTCCGCCCGGGGAATAATGCAAACTCGGTCGCCACTCTGTTTCTCAATGAGAAAAATTCATGCACGGTCATTCGTTTGATAAGCTCAGTCACTTTTAGGTGTGAGTAGCTACAGCTGACCTCCTAAGGCTTCGCGCACTTCAAGCGATTTGGCCACTACGCTATCTGGCAATCTGCCAAGTGTCTCTAATTCCAACACTGGCAGACTACGAATGCATAACGTGCAAAATGTAGATTGAAATGCTCTATCTGTACATTTCGAATGCGCTTATTAGTATAACATTTGGGGTACTGCCAAATTGCACCGTGACGGAAATTCTGAAATATGTTTAGGGCCTATCGCTTGGAAAAAACGGCTCGCAATAGATTTTTCCGTGTTTGTCATCGTCAAGACCTCAGAGTTTCCTTAGAGTAATTTTTAGATTGAAATGAGTACACAGACTGTGACAATTAAGCCTTCAACATGTATTTTTAAAATGTTGTAGCGGCGTATTTATCGCGATGAAAACGTTGAATAGCGACAACTTCAGCAGAAGTCTAATAGAATAATAGCAAACACACCTAGAATTTTGAAAAATTTCTGCCTTTATATAATGTGCCGGAATACTGAAACTTTCGCAAAAATTTCAGTAATTATTATATTTAGACTTTTTATTGTTAAAATCAGATTTATCGAGATTTTGGATGATTTAGGAGTTTTTCGTTATTACATGTACATTCTTATCAAGTTGTTATTATCCCTACCAAATCTTGACTATTACCGTAACTTAAAGACGAGACAGAACAAGTGTCGATATGGAAGGGATGGCTCGGATTGACATTGAAGACTGAGACGCCCACGCGTGCGGAACCAACTCAATTCCAACTTGCACGATGTGCTCGTCACTCGTCCCAATTCGGCAATCACAGCTCAAGTGACGAGTGACTTACTTCGCCAACGTCTTCATCAAATCCTCCCAAATGCCTGATTACCATTACCCGCTTCAGAATCTCCTTAAAGTGGGCAACATTGGAGCAGGGAATGGATGACGCAAGGACATGATTGTAACGTGAGATGGAGCCGTTGGGCTCGGCATCGACGACGCGCGATTCCCAGGGGTGCAGCAAGACTCTTGTATCGAAATACGAGAGAAAAACGAATATGTGGGAAGAAGTGGTGATTACGTTTGTTGTGTCGGAGGGTCTGCAAGGGCTAGATTCACTAAGAATGATCTTTTATAGTGATGGTTGAATCAAAAGTTCGTGTACCACTTTGATCAACTTCTTACTTTCTTAGGGAATTTTGCACAATTTCAAGTTTGTCTAAAGAGAAATTATGCGTTTTACGATACCAACTGAATCACTTCTAAACCGCAAACACTGCAGAAATAGAAGATAGAATAAATTACTCAAATTTTGATTTTTCTGTGTATGATTGCCAAAAATTCTTTTTCAATCTGCGCTAAAATCAGAAGCACTTGTGATTTAGGTTCTATTACCCGCTCTTTCCATCTATGTAAACTGTATTAGAAAAGCTAGAATTTTTATCCTGTGAGAAGCTATAATCTTTGAGAAATATGGCAGAAAAATCAAAACAAAAATTGTTGTTTCAAACTGCTTGCTCGAGACTCATGAGTTCTCTCAAAAAGCTCAATTATCACAATTTTTGCTTGGATGAAAAAACGGATGGTAAAACCTATGATATCAAGCTCGGTTTTTAGCGCAAGTTTCAGATTTTTGGCAACTTTACAAAGAAAACTCGAAATTTGAGTAATTTTTCAACATCTTCTATCTCCGCAGTGCTTGCGTGTTAGAGAGTTTTTCAAATGCTA